TTGCATACATTTCTCATTAGGATGATGTTGCAGTGAATGAAAAAGATGGTAATCTGATGGTGCCATATCTGGAGAATGTGGTGGGTGAGGGAGAACTTCCCAACCCAACTTAATAATCTTGTGTTGTGTCAAACGTGCAACATGTGGACGAGCATTGTCGTGGAGAAGAAGAAGAACACTTTTTCAATTGACGAGTGAAGAGCGTTTGTGATGAAGGACTTGATTTAAACATTCCAGTTGATGAGTATAGATCTCTGCGTATACAGTTCACTGTGGAATGAGAAGTTCTAAATGAATTACTCCTTTGATGTCCTACCAAATACAAAGCATCACATTCTGCAGATGGAGTCCAGGTTTTTGGGTCAGAAACGGTTTTTGTCTAAGACTGAGCCATTGTTTTTGGTATTTAATATTTGCATAGAGAAACCATTTTTCATCACACTAACAATTCTATCCAAAAATGGTTCACGCACATTACACACCAGAAGAGACAAAGCACATGTTGGAAACAATGATCGTCAGAGAGTTTGTAAGACACCCAAACACCTTCTTTAAGGAGTTTTCCCATATTCATTAGATGTTTACAAATTGTTTCATGAGAGACATGCAATTTCAGGGCCATTTCATGAGTATGTTGCCTTGGGTTAAACTCAACAAACGTCTTCAGAGCATCAATATCAATTTCAACATGTCGGCCCCATCTGCCACAGTTTTTAAGGCTAAAGTCACCTGAACAAAATTTGCTGAACCATCATTGACATTTACGAATGTTCAAAACATTTCCATAAACTCCTTTGGTATTCTTTGTGACTACAGAGGCATTGTTTCCCTTCTTGTATACGACAGCATTACATGTCGAATGTGTGTCTCGTTGTGTGCAATCACTATAAGGGATACTAAACTTTGCACATTATATAGGCTACACTAACATGACATTTAGGTGGTTTGTTTAACTATTATATGTGATGTACGTTTTTTGGGGGGTGGTTAATGAAAGTTATCCAAAATGCGACATTAATTTCTTGACGACCTAATACTAACTTGAATATTAAGGGTAACAAGTTTAAGTCATGGAAAACTAGATACATGCTTGTTTCTCTGACTTGTATTTGTGTTAAGAGTGATAAATATATAAAACTGCCTAATATTTGTTTGAGTTTTTTGTATATTTTTTATAGATTATGGATGTGAAAGGTTAAGTTCAATTTGGAAATAATATATTATTCCTTGTTTTTGCTGGAGACTTTGGGCTGTATGGTACATAGCCTTTTCTTGTGTTCACAAACCATCTCCAGTAGACATGATTCTAATAGTAGGTAAATACACAATAAATCTATAATAAAGTTTAAATCCACAATAATGGAAAAATACTAAATTTATATGGATACAGGTTTCAACATTTTCACATGTCTTCTTCAGTCCACTGTTGTATGTCTTTCTTCTTCATTAGTGTTTAGGTAAAATTACTACCTCTGTCCATTAATAAATGTTGTGATATTCCATATCTTGCTTCTATCTGATTTACAGAAACTTTTGCCGTATATATCTTTGTCTCTCAGCTGTCTACAATAGTAAGCTGTAGGGTGTGTCTCTGTATGTCTGAGATAACATTGGTCGTGTCACATATTCTGATGAAATAGTACAGTACTTGATCTAAGTTACTTACTATAGTCTGGGTCACTTAGTATGTGTATGATTTGTCAAATAAAATTTAGCTTATTAAATGTCTCTCTTTGATCCACCCAAGTTATTTAGTTCATGATACATATATATGTTAATGGTTTCTTTTCTTTTTCACCACAGGTGAAATTGAAAAGAGAATTTGTGATGTAGAGCCCTAATGCATTGTTTGATTGGTCATACCCAGTTAGGAATCTAGCAAAGGATAAATGTGTGGTAAAAATCTACAAGTCCAAGAAATTCTGTAATTTTCTAAACATTCCTGGGTATTGGATAATTTTTTGATAGGGTCAGGTTTTACCTAGACATCTGTTCTGACATATCAGCTTAAGACCTGTTATACTCAGCCTTTCAAAGATGTGTTCAGATTCTCATTGAAATTATCTGTCATCAAAATAATAAAACAGTATCTAGTAATCCAGATAGAATGAAATTTCTAAGTTTTTGAAATGTAGATGGTGCATAGTTAATAGCATGGGATTAATAAATTGATATCAACTGGATAGCAGGATGAAAGCTGTTTTTTTTCTTCTTTATCTTTCGTGCCCATTTCTACCTTGTCAATAATCACTTTGCAAGTCCACAGAGGAAAAAATAATTGCTTTGCCTCTGTTTCTATCTGCTGCAGATGAGGGACATAAATGAGACATTTATGATTTTTACACTAAAACAGCACAAAGGATACTCATTTCTGCTCTGTTCAAAGCTCAACCAAGGTCTAATTAGAATACATTCTTAGCTAAAATATTTTACATTTTTTGTATCATTAACACAAGTGTTTGAAAATTTTAAAATAAATTAGTCATATTTCAGTTTGATTCATTCAACTTTACAATGATAAAACATGTAGCTTGTTTAACACTAAAGACATGCTTGAGTAATGTGATGACATTATTGTTTAATAAAGCAACTATGGTAAGACCAGCTAACAGGTGCTTATGTTAAATTCTTTTTATAAAAGGAAAAATACAGTGTTAGATCTAAGACTAACTTTGTGGCACTTGGTGTTATTTAACTCATTTCATCTAGCCCAGATACTTTGCTTAAAAAAATGGTTGAAATACTTTGAAAATTCTTGTTCTTGTAGAGTAGTTTTGAATAAAGACACTATTTTAATTTTATATTCTAATTATGATTAATATTGCTTGCCCCACAAATTTCAAGTTTTATTGCTTTAGTAAAAACCTTTACTTTTTTATTTACGATGTACTTGTCAAACCAGTAGTTCAAAATTAAGTAGTGTAATTTTACTTATAGCCAGCACTTAGGTTTGTTGACATTTGAAAAATAAACAGTATATTTGATGGGTATTAATTTATATAATTTAAAACTTAGGTTTAATCCATGTAGTTTTGTGTTTTAATATTTAAAACTAAGGAGCATTGGCATGTCTAATTTTCCTTTTGTTTTATTCAGTTTGAATGTTGTTTATTTAGACTTTTATAGATATGACATTCGGAGCCGGAGGACATACACGAGAGATTTTATTGGCAGCAGAAAATTTGAAGGTGTTTGGTTTGGACAGAGACCCCACTGCCTGTTATTTGGCATCGGAAATGTCAAAAACTTTTCCGTAAGTGCAGTTAGTATGAAAGTTAAATCTAAAAGGTCAGTCAAGGTTTGCTATTTGTGCTAAAATAAAATTTAATCTTCAGCCAACATTTTCAGCTATGCACAGTTAGCAAAATATAATTTCAAGATTAAAAATTTTCAAGAGCATTCTATGTGCTGGAAATTTAGTCTCATATCATCCAGTTGTTTATCTTGTTTACATATACCAGTGTATAACAGAAATGGAAAACACTCCAAACCAGAGCTGGGTGATTTAATCAACTAATCCTGTGAGAAGTGGTTAATGGCATATCAATTAATTCATTAATCAAAATTACAATTAATTGAAATTATAATGAAATCAATTGTCATAAAAATAATAAACTAATTGAATGGGGTTTCTGATTATTATTGTTGACTTTTCCTACTACCCAAATAATCATAATATTGTTACTGTGTCATATTCACCAATTATGAACTGTTGACTAGAGAGACAGCTACTGGTTGGCAATACTCAGTAACAACTCTCTAGCTATTTAAGTGTTAAATACAGTGCTCTGTCATTGTTACTAATTGTAAACTGTTGACCAGAGGGAAGACAATTGGTTAACAACTCTCTAGCTACTTAAGTGTTAAACACAGTGCTCTGTCACTGTTACTAATTATAAACTGTTGACCAGAGGGACGGCTACTGGTTAACAACTCTCTAGCTACTTAAGTGTTAAATACAGCGCTCTGTCACTGTTACTAATTATAAACTGTTGACTAGAGGGACGGCTACTGGTTAACAACTCTCTAGCTACTTAAGTGTTAAGTACAGTGCTCTGTCACTGTTACTAATTATAAACTGTTGACTAGAGGGAAGACAACTGGATGTGTATCTTAGTAATTTAACCAGCATTACAAAACATTTTATAACTTCATGTGTGGGGTTTCTTCTTGAAATTATTTAAATTCAACACTTACATGTAGTCAGTGTTGGATTTAAATAATTTTAACCTATGGATATTTTTTCATAGTTATTATGTACTAGTTTAAATATCCCACCTATATTACATCCTTTATCATTACATTACCTTTTATTAAGTTTTGTACATAAATAACTTCTAAAAAATATGATTTTTAGAAACAATCAATTATCAAACTCATTGTAGCATTTAGCTAAATAGGAACAAAGAAATTAATCTTTTGATAAGACGTATTCACATTTATCTTCCAAGCATTGTAAGGTGCATGTTGAATATGAAGTTGTATTAACTCATCAAGATGTTGTGTAATTTTTTTTTAATTCCATTTTAGTTTTTTAATGATTTTGAATATGGAGAATGTTTACTGTCTCCAGGAAATTAAAAGTTTCAGTGTGCATGCATTCAATATAAGTATTTTAACAGGTTTTTGAAAAACTGGCAGACTATATCATGTAAAAGAAACTTGTCAACTTTCATTCTAGTTTACTTCTAAGCATGTGGAATAATTTAATAACAAAAATTAAACATTTTATGTAGTGTTTTCCATTAAACACTAGTAACTTCAACGATGAAAGGAAGTACTCTGTTGTAATTAAAAGTAAACTTGATAAACAGAGTAAAATTTAATGAAAGTACAACGTTTCACCAGGTTTACTATTAACTTCATTGTTTCTTTAGAAATTCCTTAGTTCCTTTACTTGGAAAGTTCAGTGAGCTTCCAAAACTCCTCCAACAGGAAGGAGTGAAAGAAGAATCCATTGATGGTATTCTGCTAGATGCAGGTTGTTCCTCTATGCAGCTCGATGATCCCTGTCGTGGTTTTTCTCTCAGTAAGAACTGTCCACTAGATTTACGGATGGACGGTGAAAGGTAGGCTTTCCTTTAGCTTGATAGTACAGAAACCTTGAATAAACCATGCTGTCTAAAACCTTACCTTGAAGTTAATGTTGCAACTTTATGCCAAAGCTAGATTCTGTTTCAAGTGAGTAAAATCAATAAGTTTACTTGTCATTTTTTACAAATAACTTGTATAAAAATATTGCATTGCTACATCGTTCAATTTCTGTAGTAAAAAAAAACAAAAAGGGAAGTACAAGTTACAAACTATTGGTTTGTCATTAACACTTAGAAAACTTTCTATTAAATGGTTGTGAGGGAATACATATTGCATATTTTTGGATAGTCAATAAATGTGTTCTAAGTTTATTGAAAATGTTTTTCATGTCTCAGAATGTTTAGGTTTAACAAATTTGTTTAATGTGAGAGGTTTTATGGAAGACCCAAGTGTGAGTTAGTTCCACTCAACTTTTTCTTACTGGTATTGAATATTGTATTAATCAGCAGTATCAGACCTGTAGACACTGTTGTAGTTTGAACACTTTTTCCAAGCTGGTGAAGCATGGTTATAATTAATTATACTTGTCATACGATATTAGTCTTAGGTCTCTTATATTTTTAACATTGCATTCTTTATCTGGTCCCTCAGGGATTTTCAAGAGCGAGAAGTTTTGTTGTAGCAAATGGTTTATATAAATAGACTCTAATACTGTGTTTGATGTGGATCTGATGAGATTTGAACAAAACACATTGGCTACAATGGATGTTGTGTGGTTAGAATACTACTACTATACACCCTTTTAATTCTTGAAAATCTCTAAGAGACGAGATAAAAAATGTAGTTAAAAATATAATAGGCCTAACAGTAATGTTGTATGACAAGTATATTTAATAATAATAGTTTTTTTTGATATTATTGGCTTACATGTAATTTGTATGTTGACCAGATACCCAGGAGAGCCTACTGGTGCTGATGTTATAAATACACTAGATGCAAGAAGTTTAGCAAAGATCTTTAAGACTTATGGTGAGGAAAAACAAGCCAAGAAAATTGCTCAGGCCATCATTGATGCAAGATTCATGCTTCAGAAGATCACCACATCTTCTCAGTTGGCAGACCTGGTGGCCAGTACTCTAAATCAGTTGAGTTATAGGTTTAAGTTTTATTGTGTATTAGTTTATGAACTTGAAGATAGATACTTTTTGACAAATAAAATGATGGTCATAAATGCCTTATAAACTATTATAAATATCACTAAATGAATGAATACTCTGCCTAAACCTATCAAAGATTACTACTAAATGTCACTCATTTCAAAATAAAGATAAGTATTCAAGGGTTAGTTCTGTAATACTTATTTTTAAAGAGAAACTTTGTAAAAAGTTAGTAGTCTTTAATGATATTCTAATATACATTTGGATTTTATATAAAAGTAACATAAATTGAAGGTTCCTCAGATGCAAAATAATTAATTTGGGAAATTTCTAAAGATGTAAAAAATATCATAGAGTAATAATTCTTATATCTGTGATTTACTTATAACTAGCATATAGCCTGTCAAAAATGACAGGACAAGTACTACCACCCCCACCCCATAGTATACCCTAACCTCACATTTCATAGCTAACTGAAATAAATAAATTTTA